TCAAATCTTTACTTAGAAAGTCTCAACCAAACCTTCTCCACACACACACAAAAAAAAAAAAAAAAAAAAAAAAAAGAAAAGAAAAGGCTCCCACCTTTTACATCAAAAGATGTATCACTAAATTATATTTTTTTATTCTTTTTCATGATCTTTGGGGATAATTTCAACCAAAGTGGCAAAGAAAAAGATGTCATCCTACGTGTAATTTAATAGGATATGTTTGTTTATTTATTTCCTAAAATTTATTAAAAATTAAGATATGTTGATCTTAATAGAATTTTTATGGGTTTTAAGTGAATTATTTAACATTTTTTTATAATTAATTATTAGAGATTTTACCAACTCTAATTAATACAAAGTATAGAATATTTTGTACACTAATATAAAATTTATATATTATTGAATAAGTTCGCTTAGCCAATAACATTATATATATATAAATATTATAGAACGAAAGGCAAACACACTTAGTCCAAATTTTAGTTTAAAATATTTAAAAATTCAAAATTTTTGTTCGAGCTCGGTTTAAATGTGTATTCTTAATTTATATATATATATAAAATGTAGAAAGACAAATCAATCCATCATATGGAACCATAGAAACAGTCCACAATCTCAATTAAGACTGAGTCAAGACAAAGACACAAATTATGGGCAGTAGAAGTAACTGCATTAGTATATGTGTCACCATTTTTATGGACATGTGAAAGCTAAAATTCCTAATTAATCTTCCTCTTTACTACAGGTCAGGAGCTCTCCATAAACAAAGAATGCAATCAATCTGCATTAGTAATTAATTTCAGAATGTTTTAAGTTTTGAATTTACATAATTAAAATTTCTAAATGATAAATTAATATAATTAATTTTATTTTTTTTAAAAAGTTATATTTTTTTTAAAATAAAACATTTAATTTGTATAAAAATATGAAAGTAACTTTGTGAGATATAAATTTTTAAAAGATAATTAATTTGTCACGAATTGCTAATCCTTAGTCTACCCTTCTATAAATATATTTATTTTTAATGGGAATCTGTATATCCGTTTTATATTTGCGTGCTATATAAATATAAATCTAAATCCAAAAAAAAAAAAAATGATAATATATTAAAATCTAAAGTAATAAACACATATATATATAGTCACGCAGGGGTAAAAGGGACCCCACGAGAGAGAGTGGGGTAGGCGACAAACAGGGTGGGTGGGGCCATGATCTTCTGAGCCGTGCCCTAAGTTAATGGCGCAGGGGGGTCCCACCCTTGGATTTGATTTGGGGACAGTGTGGGCCCACAGGGGGGTTATATTGGGTGACATCTGACATGTGCAATTTTAAGGGCATGCCTTTAGCCGCCATACTTGCTTGCACGCGTACATTTTGCCACACATGTGCCAAATTTCCATCTTCCTTCTTCTTCCCCCACCCGCCCTCCTACTTTCCTCTTTGGTTTTATGCACACTTTCCTAATGAGAACTCTACGTCCATACCCTCGAGTGCTACTGTACCACGCGCACATTTTTTTTTTTTTTTTTTTTAATTTTTAATTTTCTAAATGTAATTCTTAATTTACTTACTAATTTATTTTTTAAAACAAAAAAATTAAAACAAATGGGTTTTTAATTAATTAAATTTATAATATGAAGTAAAGTTTGAATGTGATTGAAAATTTGAAATTGGTATGAAAAGAGAGTTTTGAGTGAGTGGTCTGAGATGTTATGTCTCAATCTTATCCTTTTGACTTCCCTGATTTAAACAATCTGGATGAGGTGGGTGCCCAAAGCCCCAAAATTGAAATTGGAACTAATTGCCTTTTTATTAATTAATTAATTATATAAAGAAATAAAAGCTATTTAAAAGGTATTTATGAACTATCACACACAAAATACCCAAGCGGGTGCTTTTTGGAGTGGCTCACTGCTGCCACTTTCCTCTTTTTTCCTTTTTGTTCAAAGTTTTTGGCATGCACTACTACTACTCCACGCGACAAATACTTTTCTTTCCAAATTAATTTCAACAAATAAATAGCCACACAATTTCAATTTTTAAATTTTAAATTGAAATCATAAAATATGAATGGAGTTGAATAATAAAATCTATTACAGAATTTATACATATAAATAATTGGTTGGTGTAGTGATAATAGATAGGAAAAGTAAGGAAGTGGGCACTACAAATAGTGAAGCTCTGTTTAGCTTGTAATATATATGTTTGTTTGTTTATTTTTTTTAAAAAAAAAATTAATTAATTCACGATGTTAAATTTATTATAATATTTTAATTAAATTCAATATGTAAT